CTTCCTTTTGCCCTAATTCAGTGCTTCTCAATTCTGGCTGCACTTCAGAATCCCTGGGTAGGTTTCAAACATCCCGATGGCCAGGCCTCACCATATTCCATGCCAAAATTTCTGGGAGTGGGCCCCAGGCCTCAGCAGGTTTCAAGCTCTCCCAGATGTTTCCATTATGTCGCCAAGGGCGGAAACCACCAGGCTAACTAAAACCCTGCCCTCCCCTGAAAGAACACCCTTGTGGTGGGAGCTGGCTCCCTCCTACAGCTCTGCCCTCCCCAGGACTAGAGGTGAGCAGGAGGCTTGCTCCTTACTGCCACCTCCGGAACACTAAATCTCTCTCCCCTAAAATCAGGCTTTCAAAATCTCAGGCAGTTCCTCAAACACATCAGGACCTCTTGCGTGCCTGTTTCTTTGCATTTTTTTTTTTCCTCTCTATAGCAAAGCTCTGTATCCTGCAGCCAGCTTAAAAGAAAAATTCTCTTTTTTTCTTTAAAACTCATTTCATTGGTCACCTCACACCTTCTGCAAGCCTGCTTGGTCTGTCATATCTTATAGGTGTTAATAAATTGCTTCTTCCACAGTGCTTTCACCCTCCAGTTCTATTTTAGTAGTCATTACATTGCCAGTGAGGAGTACTTGCTGTTATATATAACGTGAGAAATTAGTGGTAGAAATAGGAAAATTCTGAGCACGTTAGTCTACAAGGAGGCCCCATTCATCAAATGTGGTGCTAATAAAAAACTTAAAAGATAATACCTTATACACCCAAAATCTTTTCTTTATTAAAGATAATGACACTGAAGCTCTGGCTCTATCACAATTGCCATAAGAAATTTGGCACGAGATCAACACTATTAGAGGGATTTGGCTACTGAAGTACCAAATAGTCCCTTAGCAGAGAAATGACCTACAGGATAAGCACACACTATATTTTTACTTAATTTATATGCACACAAACAGTGAGCTAATAAGCTTAACTAACTCTCACTTTAACATCACTGTATATGAAATAGTTTACTCTAATTGCTTTTGAGCAATTGGTTGTTTGTGCTATGAATCAGTCTTTTTTTAAAAAAAAATGTCGCCTCTCTGAGCTGAGCCAAAAGACCATGCCCTGGTCTTCAGTCTTTCCACAGGAAGATGTGAAGCATAAGACACTTGATTCTTTATATATTCACTTGGTCCTTCTTGATCTTACCTATAGTGTGAAAAATGAAAAGATGTTTCTCTGAATTTATTTTCCTAACTCCAGGGCCCCATATGGATAACTTAATCCAGATGTTCATATCACAGTGGTGCTTGAATAAGTATGAGCCAGCTAAACTGCATTTTATGCTGAAACCTAGACCTCATCTTTCTCACTTGATAAAACTAGTTATACTTTTGGTGTATGTAGAAATTATCTTTATATATTTTTGTATACATATCTGAAAATGTACAAACTCATTTCTCTCACATACTTAAAACCTGGAGGCTGGGCGTGATAGAGCACACCTGTAGTCCCAGCTACTTGGGAGGCTGAGGCAGGAGGATCACTTGAGCTCAGGAGTTTGAGGCTAACCAGGGTAACCTAGTGAGACACAATCTCAAAATAAAAACCAAAAACCTGGAAGTGCATCACTACTGATTGGCCATTTAGGTTTTTTTGTTTGTTTGTTTGTTGTTGTTGTTTTTTTTTTTTTTTTTTTTGAGACAGAGTCTCGCTTTGTTGCCCAGGCTAGAGTGAGTGCCGTGGCGTCAGCCTACCTCACAGCAACCTCAAACTCCTGGGCTCAAGCAATCTTCCTGCCTCAGCCTCCCGAGTAGCTGGGATTACAGGCATGCGCCACCATGCCCGGCTAATTTTTTCTATATATATCAGTTGGCCAATTAATTTCTTTCTACTTATAGTAGAGACGGGGGTCTCGCTCTTGCTCAGGCTGGTTTCAAACTCCTGACCTCGAGCAATCTGCCCACCTTGGCATCCCAGAGTGCTAGGATTACAGGCGTGAGCCACTGCGCCTGGCCTTGGCCATTTAGTTTCTAAAGTAGTGCTCCTTTGTAGGGAACAAAACATTTTCTTGTTTACTACAATCTAGTCTTGCCAATTTATCAAGTTAAATAATATGGATTTTTTTAAATACAAATACAATACAAAATCTTTATTTTAATCTCTTTCAGAGGTACTAATAAATATAACAATTTTAATTATACCAGGCCTCCTGGTTTCTCCCCTAGGTCTCCTAGTGATGGTTCTACAGTGCCATAAAAAAGTCTCTGTAGGTATAGATACGATACATTTCCAAAGTCAGGCTTTGTTCCTTTCCAAGGAACATTCACAAAAATTTAACAGAGCAAAAGAAGAATTCAGAGTGTTTTAAGTTCTCTGTAATAAAACTTGCTGTGAGTTGGTAAAAGAGACCTCATGAGAGAGTAAGCAAGAAGGGACAGAAAAGCGAGGAAGGAAACAGGACAAACCGGAAACACAGACAACGTGAAATCCTGAACTAATGTGCAGTAAACTCTCATTTTCAACTCTTCTAGGGAAAACTACTGGCATAAGATATAGAATTTAACTTTAATCAGATAATATAGAGATGAGGTGACAGACGAGAAAGGTTTGGAAATGTTCTTAACAAACACAATAGTGTTTCCTAACCATTAAGCCCTCAAGATATTAGGTATTTTATAAATAAACAGGTAAATGGTCACGCAAGCTAGGAAATTGCCAGCTTTAACCAAATAGACCAGCTTTCTTTACTGTAGGACTCCAAAGCCTTTAGTGCGCTCCTATGTGCTGTGACTCTCCCAGAGCGGGTAGAGAGGCAGCAGCCCGCAAATCTGTCTTAGCACAAAGCCCTGTTAATATCTCCCAGAAACTGTTTTATCACAAGTAGTTTGGGAAAGGCTAGACTATGTAGGTGTCCCATACAGGTGGTTAGTGAAATTAATCGAGGGTCAATATTAGGAATTTGACATGGCACAAAGACTAAATATGACCATGTGTTTATTTCCCAAGATGTCATGTATTAAACATATGTGTCCCACTTGCAGTGAAAAAAAGGAGGGAATGGCCAAAGGGAAACAGTGTAGGAACTTTCTGCCTATGCTTCTTACATACCTATTCCTGATGTCTGAAATCTCCATAGCTAGGTGGCTGAGGGGGAGGCTCAGGCTGAGCGCTGGGCTCACTGTTTACACTGTGATGGGAAATCTGGTAGACAAAGAAGCAGCCTCGTTCATTAACAGTAACTAGAGAATTCCCAGTCCCTCTGTGAGATCCTTGGTGACTAAAGGACCAAAGCAGGCAGGAAGCCCACCTCAAGCAGCTGAGATGAGAGCTGCTGATAGCCACAGCACATTTCATGAAAAGGAAGCAACTATTTGTCATTTTACAGCAAGAGAAAGGAGGTTGGTTACAAAAGCCGTTTCAGACAGGTCTTCCATGCATTCATCTAGGTGGCTCCCACCCCCAGGCTTGAAACTGGCAGCTAGTAACTAAGTGCCTCCAGGAGGCCTGCTCAGGTTGCGGCGAAAAAGTCCACGTTTGCTGCTGGCACAAAGCAAAAGCCACAGGTCCTCTAGGTCCTCCTTAGGGGGACATTGTGAAAGCCTCAATTGCAGGTGTAATGATCTGCTGTCCTGGTGTATACATAGACACTTGGACTCTGGTGACAGGGAGAGAGGGGCCTTGAGGAGACAGACTGCAGGGTAGGAGCTGCCTCTATTAGTAACTAGCTATGCCACCTTGGGTGATTTGCTTTATCCCTATATGCTCCAATTTCCTTATCTGTAAAAAACGGATCCTATTAGTATCTGTACTTACCTCGTAGGGTTTTTGTGAAGATTAAATAATGCATTGAAATCACCTAGCACAATGCCTGCCCTATTATAGATGCTCAATGAACATAGCTAATAATGTGAATGAGTAGAATTCTAACCAAGGAAAAGCTTAGGGTAGAACTAAAGCTTGGCTTTAGATATACAGCAGGGACTCAATAACTTCTTGTTGACTGGTCAGCCAGTATCTCTTAAAGCCAATCTTAGGTACTGGAAAAGGACTTCTTATCTGTTTACATACAGGTCAGGAAGAACTGGGTTTTTTATTACCCTTCAAAGTGAAGCAGGAAGCCAATAACTCATGGTATTTGCATCTCAAGGTTGAGTGGACAGTAAAGGCCATCTAATTCTCTGAAAGAAGGACAAGTAAATGTTAAAAGTGGTTTCAGTAACTCGGCGAGTTCTGAGATGGCACCATATGGAAAGGTATGCTCTGAACCAGCCAGAGCAATGACAGAAACTGAGACTGTCTGCAGAGAAATTTCCCAACGTTTTCTGCCAAAAGTCAGAAAGAGTCTTTAAAGATAGGAAGTTTCTTCAGCAGCAGTACCAAAGACCATACTCCACGGATTTGCCGCCTGCTTCTCATTTTCAACTCCACTAAAAGTGTTGATGAAAAAGGCCATAGTAGCACACATAAATAAGGCAGAATTAATTTACAAGTGAAACCAATTTTGGAGACACATTCTCTCACTCCTGCTGTTTCAGCTTATTGTTCTGAGGGAAAATACCACCCTAAAGAAAGCACTGTGGGCTGAAACCACAGCACTAACCCCATGTTGATGACCATCTATTGTTAGTTTATGTAGAATTAACATAGCTCGTAAGATGCTGACAAACATAGTCACCCAGACTGCACAATGCTATACAGAAAACCATATTCTTTCATCCCCAACTGGAGAGACACCCTTTCTTCTACTCCTCCTTCTGTATGAAAACAGACACGAGCCTAGGCAGCCAAGAGTGAACTAGCACACATTTGCTTGGTGGACTAGTCAGGATCTTTCCCTCTTCCGCATGAGGCTCGGGGATTGGCTGGATGAGAAGTTAAACCACTCTCGGCTCTAGGTATCAGCTTGGGAATCTGACGGAGCAGTTCTGTGACGATCAACCCTTGCAAGGAAGCACAGTGGTAGGACAACTTCCCCAATACCATCCAGTTTACAGAAATCAAATATGTCTCCTACCTGCGATGGACAAGGTCTCGGAGGGAGCGCAGGTGGTGGGGGTAACAATCCTGACTTAGTAGCTGAAAAGAAAAACACACGCTGTTAAAGATCGCCTCTCAAAAATAAAACAAAAAACTCTTGTACTTGTTAACTAGGAATAGCAATATCACTTGCATTTAACATGTTTAAGTTTTTTAAATCCCTCTGAAGGCTTAATAAAAAAACAGCACATGTTATTTCTCATCCCTTTATCGTTTTCATCCTACCCCAAATCCAAGTATTTATATAGTCTGTTACAATCAAGATAGTAAAACAACAAGGAAAAGACACCTGGAACCCAGTATGGCAAAGGTGATCAATTCTTCAATATTTTAATGTTAATCATTTAGTTTCAAGTAATCTAAGACAAAAGTCCAAAAGGGTTTTCTCTGCTTTCTCTCACATTTCTCCCTAGCTCTCAGCCATACCACTGCTCATCAGCTCAGTGAGGAGGCTGCAGAAGCTAAGGGAGCTGGAACTCAAAAGAGGCCACCGGCCACCCTGTAAGTGCTCCTGGGAATGGGTCTGACATCAGCAGAGGCAGCCAAAAGTGATATGTAAGGATTCTTAAAGATCTCAATTTGTTTTTCTTTCCCTGGTCCTTATTATCAGGGATAACTAAAGCTGTTTCTAAAATAATCTGGCCACATTTGAAGAATCTTTTGAAAGAAAGTATCAGTCTAATTTTTTAAAACTTTGTGAGATACAGAAAATATTTGAGTTAAGCGAAAAACATCTGAGTTATAATTTAGCAATGAAAATAAACAGCTGCTATGAAATTTTACAGAAAGTTCATAATCACACACAAGAAATAAGTTTAGCATTACATACTACCAAGTTAAACCACATTCTTTACAAACTCCTTGAAAAACATCATGTGTTTATTTGCAAATCTGTAAAATGCATGCTAATATTTGGACAATTTTCTGTGCCTTAAAAATGAATCATAGCAATGCACCAAGAACATGAAAGTTTTTGAAAATCACTTTTGATTGCCCTAGCTGGATCAGACAAGCTAGATGGAGTTTGGTGGTTTTCACAAACGTAACTCAGAGTAACGTCACAGAGATTTTCATCTGGATCCAGCTCATGGATACAGTATAACCATGTGGGCCCATCTATGACTTCTCTCAATCTGTCTTTCATTAAAATTTATGAAACACATCAGTGGGTCAAAACTCCAAAGGTGGTGAGACCTTGAACAGCTGTCAATAACAAAGCATGTGGCAGGAGAGAATGCTGAAAGCCTTCAGGAATTATCTATCTCAGAGCCTCTACTCCACAGGTCCTCACACATTGGGCCTTTAAATTATGAGTTACTTTTAAAAAAAAAAATGAAACAACTAAACAAACAAAAGCTATGTATGCTTCTAAGGGAAAGGCCAAGCAATTGCATGAGAATAAAGTGTGCATTAAAACAATCTTTTAAACCTGAACACTTGTACCCCCATAATATGCTAAAATAAAAAAAATTTTAAAAAACAATCCTTTATTAACAAAAGAGGACTGCACAAGAAACGATAAGCCATTGACTTCTGACAAGATAGAGTAACAGAGATCAGATTTACACACCCATTTGAAACAACTAAAAACAAACAGAAAAAAACACATGAAACAACAGTTTTCAAGGCACTAGAACAAAACATGTACAACAACAGTTTTCAAGATACTAGATAATCAGACTTGTACCCCCATAATACGCTAAAAATAAAAAAAAAAGAAAATCAGGCAACAAAAGATGGTGATCCCTGAGAGATAGGAAACAAATGAGATGAGCCCCTGTGACTGACAGACTGACCCTGCTCACTGCCTTGAAAGCTAGTAGAAACAGGATCTAGATCCCGAGTAAAGTCTAATTAAGTTCTTTGTTTACTATTATTTAATTTTTTAAAAGACAAATGCCCTATTTTTGTAAAAGATCATATGTGAGTCTGTTTTTGAATATACTTTGGATAAAATTATATGGCCTACAATGCCATGTATTGGGTTCATTAGAAATTGCCCCAAATATGAAGGAGAAATGGGATAAACGATTGAGATCATTTAAAATGGAATCCTCTCTCAGTTTCTCACAAACTTCAAGCAACAAAACAGTATCACAGGCACATGCCCATCGTTCATGCGGAATCTTTTAAGAGTTGATATTTGTCATTTCCTCATTAAATTCCAAGAGGATTGGGGGGAAAGCCCTCAAAATCCTATCACAAATATTAAAAAATATTATACAAATATTAACAGCAGTTTTGTTTCCTCTTTTTAGTACCTTTACCACTTTTTCCTGGGCTTACATCTACTATAAAGTTGAATGAAAATGGTGATAATTGGCATGCTTGTCTTTTCTTGATCTCAAAGGGAAGTGTTCACTAGTTCACCATAGTGTTTGCTGTAGGTTTGTTGTAGACACCCTTTAAAAGGTGATAAAAATTCTCATCTATTCTTATTTTGAGATTTTTTTCAGGATAATTTTTTTTGAATTTTAACTAAAGCTGCAAGTCCATCCATTGAGGTGACTGTATGATTTTTTTCCTTATAATTTGTTAAAACGGTGAATTACATTATGGGTTTTTAAATATTAAAACACCCTTGCAGACCTGGGAGAATCTCAACTTGGTCAGGTTTTTATATCTGCTAGATTTAGTTGACTAATATTTTGTTTAGGGTTTTTGCAACTATTATTATATTCATGAATATGACAGAAAAGTGATTTTCCTTTCTCATATGGTCCTCTGTTGTGCTTGATTCAGCTAGAGAGTGTTCCGCCTATTTAAACTCTGAAATAAGTTGTTTAAGATGGGAAATTTTTTTTCTTTAATATTAGGTAACAACTTGCCCAGTAGAGCTACCTAGGTCATGAGTTTTCCTTAAATAAAATTTTTGATTAATGATTCCATTTCTTTAATTGTTACAGGACTATTTAAATTTTCTAATTCTTAGTCAATTCTGATAAATGTTTTTTCTAGGCATTCATTCATTCTGTCTAAATACTCTAATTTATTAGCATAAGGGTGTTCATACGACCACCCTTACTGTCACCTTAATCTCAGAATGTGTTGTTATTTTTTTCCACTCAAATTTTCCTTCATTAATCTCGCCTGGCACTTGTTATTAATAGTTTTATTACACTTTTCAAAAAATTCACTTTTAACTTTTTTGAGCCTCTGTATTGTATGCTTGCTTTCTGTTTCATTAATTCTCTTTATGTCCTTCCATTTACTTTCTTTGTGCTGGTCTTGTTCTTTTGCTACCTTAAATTGGTTGCTTAGTTCATTAATTTCTAGCTTTTCTTCTTTTCTAACATAAGCATTTAGAGTTGTCAATTTTTTCCAAGTACCTCTTTGGTATAATATCATAGGTTTTGTATGTAATATTATTTAGTGCTAAAAACTTCCTAATTTCTATTATAATTTCTTTTATGATGTCTAAAGTTTATTTATCCTTTAGAATTTCCTTTATTGAGAGTCTATTAGTAGAAAACTTATTTGATTGAAAAGTCTTTATTTTCCCCTCACTCTTGAAAGATGAATTCTAAATTGATAGCTATTTTCTCTCAGCACACTGAAGATAACATTTTACTGCCTCTGACTTCCATTATTGCTGCTGAGAAGTCATCTATCAGTCAAATCATTGTTTTGTTAGGTAGCCTATCTTCTCTACGGTTGCTTTTATGATGTGCTCTTTGGTTTTGGTACTCTGAAATATCAAACTTTTATCCTGCTTCTGCACATGTATTTCTTAATCACCTGCTGGCCTCATTGGAATTTCAGACATGTGGCATTCCATTAACTATGGTCAATTCTTAGCAGTTTAAATATGTCTCCCCATTTCTCCCTCTCCTTCAGAAGCTTGTTAAACTATACTGTGTTCTGGATAATTTCTAAACATCTATTGACCAATAACCAATTCCCCCTTCAGCTGTGCTTAATATCCTGTTAATCCAGTCTTGAGCTTCTTTCTGTTACAAATTTCTTTCAGAAGTTAATTGGTCTTTTTTCAAAACACTTTCTCATTTTTATAATTCTTGGCCATTATTTAATTTCTTCATTCTTCTTCAACATATAAACATACTGATATATTCAATATCTGAGGCCTTTGTATTTCCCCTGTTTTTTGCTATTCTGGCTCTTGTCACTCGTTTCATTCCTAGTGTATTTGGCAACATTTGACTCTGAACTCTTATTCCTTGGACTACCTATAGAAACTTTGAGGCCTAGGTGGAAGTGAGTATCCTCTCTCCAGTGCTTTTCAGAAACTTGAGGTACCAACCTGGGACACCTTAAACTAAAATCTTGGCTTGAACTGTGCAGAATCTCTAGTTCTGCTGTCTGATCTGAGATTTGTTAAATGTCCTCTACTAAGACTTTTGAGTATAGATTAGCAGTTTGAATACATGCAACTAACTCACCCTTACTTCATAACACAATATGAAGAGAATATTTAAATGCTCTTGTTTAAATTTGTAACTAGGAAAATAGATGAGTGACTGACAGCTAGCTGTGCAGGTCTGAGAAAGCAATGAAAAAGCAAAGTAACCAATTTGTACCACAGAAGCCTGCCCTGATCCTCAGAATTCGTGGCATCAAACTCCTCTGGAGCGGCGCAGTGGCTCATCGCCTGTATACCTAGCACTCTGGGAGCCAAGCGGAGGATCGCTCAAGGTCAGGAGTTCAAGACAGCCTGAGCAAGAGTGAGACCATCTCACTAAAAATAAAAGAAATTGGCCAACTAATATATATAGAAAAATTAGCCGGGCATGTGGTGCATGCCTGTCCAGGTATTCGGGAGGCTGAGGCAGGAGGATTGCTTGAGCCCAGGAGTTTGAGGTTGCTGTGAGCTAGGCTGACGCCACAGCACTCTAGCCCAGGCAACAGAGTGAGACTCAGTCTCAAAAAAACAAACAAACAAACAAAAAAAACTCCTCTGGAGATAGGGGGAAAAAAATAAAAAGTAAAGAACTAATACTGGATACACTTTCTACCTTTCAGGAAAAGGGTACACCTTGACAACGCCTTTCTGGATCTAGGTACAGCTATACATCATGCTG